GTCAGGCCTCCTAGCACCATGCCCTATCCAAGTCTGAGGCTACCCCAGGCTCCAGAGCCTCCACAAACTCCATTGGTAATAGCTTTCTGTTGACATCAAGGCTATGATACTGTTTAAGTAGGTGAAAATATGTATTTCTTATGTGAAGCATCAAGTGTATTTTCTCTTTATTTCATTTTAACAAGAGTTTGTTAACCTTTAGTACATGCACTGCCATTTATGTAGAGGCATTGTGGAAACGAAGTGCAGAAAGCAGTGAATACTCCTGAGCAACTGACAACCTAGTCAACAATTAGTGCCTTGTAGTTAAGCCAGTGAGCACAACCCTGGGCACCTGTGAGCAAGACATTCTCTGGTCCCTTCATGTTTTAAAAAACAGATAGATGCTTTAGAGCAGTTTTAAGCTCACAGGAAAGTTAAGAGGAAGGAACAGAGATTTCTCATATACCTCCTACCCTACAAGTGCACAGCCTCCCTATCAACAGCCCCCAGTGGAGTGGTCCTTTTGTTACGATCGATGAACCTATATCATCATCACCCAGAGTCTACAGCCCGCATTAGAGTTCACTCTTGGTGCTGTACATTCTGTGGGTTTGTATAAGTGTTTAATGACATGTTGCCACCACTATAGTATCATGTGAGCTGAGTAGTTTCACTGCCCTAAAAATCCTCTGTGCTCCCCCATTCATCCCTCCCTACCCCATCCAACCCTCCCTCCCCCATTCATTCCTCTCTCCCACCATTCATCCCTCCCTCCCCCCAACCCCGATCTTTTCATTGTCTCCGTAGTGTTTACCTTTTCCAGAATATCATGTAGTCAACTCAAACAGTGTGTAGCTTTTCCAGATTGGCTTTTTTCCATGGAGGCGTTAGATTTCCTCCATGTCTTTTCATGGCTTGAGAGCTCGTTTGCTTTTAATGCTAAGTAGTGCTCTATTGTCTGGATGTACCACAGTTTATTTATCCATACACCTCCTGAAGGACATCTCAATTGCTTCCAACTTTTGGCAATTATGCATAAACCTGCTATCCGTGTGCAGATTTTTGTATGGATATGAAGTTTTCAGTCCTTTTTATAGATACTAAGGAACAGGATGTCCAGGTCATATGGTAAGAATGTTTAGTTTTATAAGAAATTTCCAAATTGTCTTCCAAAGTATCTGTACTGTTTTGAGTCCCCATCAGCAATGAGTAACAGTTCCTTCCTAGCCTTGCCAGCATTGGATGTTTGCTTTGTCCATTTTTTAAAGCACCAATAAACTGAATTATAGTAGAAACTACTAGAGAGCCAGAAATAGTGCCAAAAGTGACTCTGAGAAAAAAGCTGAGTGACACGTCCTGAGACATCCACAGGGAAGTGCCCTTTGGGCCCTTACACAAAACTACAATATACTTGCCAGGTGCAGTGGCTCATGCCTGTAATCCCAGCACTTTGGGAGGCTGAGGCAGGTGGATCACCTGAGGTCAGGAGTTCGAGACTAGCCTGGCCAACATAGTGAAATCCTGTCTCTACTAAAAACATAAAAATTAGCCAGACATGGTGGTGGGCACCTGTAATCCTAGCTACTTGGGAGGCTGAGGCAGGAGAATCTCGAACCCAGGAGGTGAAGGTTGCAGTGAGCTGAGATTGTGCCACTGCACTCCAGCCTGGGCAACAGAGCAAGACTCCATCATTCATAAATAAATAAATGAATATAAAATAAAAATAAAAACAAAGCTACAATATTCTCATTCTATACAAAATGCTAGTAAGCTAGTTTTCTATTTTCTCAGCCCATTAAAATTCAGAAGCTTTAAAGAGTCAGAGACACTAAAAATATAAAAGAAAAACACATGCCTTAGCCTGTTAACAAATAAGTTAACAAATTTGTAACCCTGTGCACTTTGGAGGCATAACTACACATCAGCTTGTCTAAACTGGTGTTTATAAGAATGACCTAAAAACACTGGCCGAAGGAATGAAACTGTATTCGAGATGTCACAGCTATTAAAAATTGGGGATATTTTAAGTCCCTGCCTTATAGATTTGTTAGAACTAAATGAAATCTGTGTAAAATGCTTAGCACAGTGTTTGATATCTAGTAACTGCTGATAATATTAGCTGCTGTGTAATGATGAGAATGATGATGGTGGTAACCATGATACAGCAAGGGGTTAGGGAATCAGAAGGAGAAGTAGACAGGAGGAGTATTGGAATTCCTCAGACATGTATTGAAATACTCTTATGTCCCAAGGTGAATTCACAGGTAAATGACACATGATTCCTATTCTTGGACAGGTTGAATAGCATATTATGTGATTATAGTTGACTGTGATCAATGTTATAATACATTGACTTATAAAAGTGGGTGACGACATAGGTGAGGAGGATGTTAATTTTGACCACAAGATTAGGAAAAACTACAGGAAATAGTTGATCTAGTCTTGAAAGATTTTGCTATTTGGTAAGGGGTAGGGATTTCAAGAAAGGACATTCCAGGCAGATGAAACAGACTTTAAACAAAGGCAGGGAGACAGAGAAATCATGCCACTGTCAAGCATGTAGACTAGGGTAAACTCAAAGAATGTATAGCAAACAGATGAGCTGGGAATGCTCCCAGGGCCAGTTTATGATTGCCTAGCATGTTACTGCAAGGAATGTGGATTTCATTTGAAAGGTGGTAGGTTGCTATTGAAAGGTTTAAGCTAAGAAGCTAGATGATTAAATGTCTGCTTTGACACATGCTCACATTGAAGGCAGGGTAGAAAATGAACTCAAGTGGGCAGAAAGTGGAGTCAGGAAGACCAGGCAGGGGCTCTTGTGATGAGTTTGGGTACCTGGTGAGGCCCTGCCATTTGAGAAAAGCTGACAGGTGGACTTGATAAGATGGAGGGGTCTATCAGAAGGGATAGGGGAAACAGGAAGAGAGAGAGGATGTGTAGAAAGTAGAGTCAAGATAAGACTTCGCTGACTTGAGCTTGGGCAATTGGGCAATACAAGGAAGGAACTTTTTACAAACCCGAGATTTATGTTTTAATCTTCATGATCCTCTAGTGGCAAGAAAGAAGTTGGATCTTTAATACTATTTCAATTCCAGGCTTATTTGATGTTTTCTTGTTCCACCCAAGAGATTACCACTTGAATTATGCCACAGGGCTAGAACCAAATTAATGCCATTTATTTTTCTAAAATGTTCAAGTAGGGATAGACAAATTTGTTCCCCAAAAATAAATTCTAACCTCAAAATGGCCATATATAATTCAGGGCTTGGCCATCTAATGTGATAACCACTAACCAATGTGGCTTCTGGGCACTTGAAATGTGGCTAGTCTTATTAGAGATGTGATGAGGGTATAAAACACTTACCAATATTCAGATATTCAGTATGAAAAGAAGATATAATATTTCATTAATTTTTATATTGATTACATGTTGAAATAATATTTTGGCTATATATATTAAATAAACTATATTACAAAATATTTCCCTTAAAAAGTTTTAATGTGACTACTAGAAAATTTAAAATTACATCTATGGCTCACATCACACACACACACACACACACACACACACACACACATTTTTTTTTTAAGAGAGAGAGAGCTAGGGTAGAGAGAGCAACTCTGTTGCTCAGGCTGGAGTGCAGTGGTACAGTCGTGGCTCACTACTTTGACTTCCTGGGCTCAAGGGATCCTTGCACCTCAACCTCCCCAGTAGCTGGAAATACAGGTGCACACAACCAGCTAATTAAAAAAATTTTTTTGTACCAATGTGGTCTTGCTACATTGCCCAGACTGCTTTCAAACTCCTGTTCTCGCCTGGCCTCCCAGAGTACTGAGATTACAGAATAGAGCCGTTGTGCCCAGCCCCATATTATATTTCTATTGAACAGTGGTGGTCTGAGAAATTTGAGTTTTGCAGTGCCAGTATTTAATGACTATGTATAGACCAAGGGTATATTTTTTATTACTGCATCCTCTTCCCATTACTGAGGAATGTCTAACCTCTGGATGTTTTCTGACACCTTCCTATGTGTCTTTATTCTTATTAAGAAAGTAGTTACCATAGTAACTGCCACAAAACCTTGTATTTACTATACCTGGAGGGAAAGACATAAATAGACATCAATCTGTCATTCAGGTTTTCAGGTTTACTCATTTATATTTTTCTCATGTCTATCTGGGTTTTCCTTTGCAACCAACAGTAGGAGACCTGTCCTCTTCTTTTTCTTTTTTTTTTTCTTTTTTTTGAGACAGAGTTCTGCCTTGTCTCCCAGGCTAGAGTGCAATGGCATGATCTTAGGTCACTGCAACCTCCACCTTCCAGGTTCAAGTGGTTCTCCTGCCTCAGCCTCTTGAGTAGCTGGGATTACCTGCACCTGCCGCCATGCCTGACTAATTTTTGTATTTTTAGTAGAGACAGGGTTTTGCCACATTGGCCAGGCTGGTCTTGAACTCCTGACCTCAGATGATCCCCCCGCCCCGGCCTCCCAAAGTGCTGGGATTACAGGCGTAAGCCACAGTGCTGGGCCAAGACCTGTCTTCTAACTCCCATCTATGTCACTGGCTTCTCTGGGTCTGCATAAAAACAGTCATTAACCATGCTGACCTCAGGGCGGATCTGTGGATACATAGTTATAAAATATTTTGAAAGTGATTCTTAGGGTACAGTATCTGTCTAATGTCACATATTTTAACATGAAAATAGCATCTAACATTACTTAGAATAATGGAGGAAGGCCGGAGAGAGAAAGTAGTTTCCTCTGGTGATTATGGGTTGGGAAGATGTAGGAGAGAGAAAAGGAGTGAGACTAGAAAAACTCGTGGAAAGCTGACCAACATTAGCATTTGTTCTCATCAGCATAAATAGTTCTTTTCCTGTATTCAGCAACAAGGCTCCACTGGCTGGGAGAAGTTTGGGAGCCCAAGCTATGCAGATAGTTCATCTTGGCTTTGATGTGGAAAAAGCAAACAGGTTGGAGTGTTTTTTTTTAACTTGATCATCATATTGTGTGATGCTTTAGGTGTTACGCTCATTTATTGCCATCTAAGTTCCATTCATGAGTGGATTCTGTTTTAACATGCTTGCTCCTTAGTGAGTCTCATCTGGACAGACAACAGATGCTAAGACAGGGACTGTGGGAAAGAGAGGAATTATTAGTGTTACCTTCACCTAGGACAGGTGTGGCTTCAAAATGTCTATATAGAATGGCCTTAGGGGTTACAGTATGGTTGAAAGTGGAGGCTGGGTGCTTGCCCTTTCAGAGGTGTTTGCCTAGCAAAGCAAGCTGTTGTCACTTGGGGCTTGTGCTTATTTGAGGTGGCTGGGAGAGGGTTTATGAGAATCGAGGTGAGGGCAGGGGTTTTGGCTCAAGATCCCTCAACCCAAGCTACGCCTTTGGCATTTCACAGAAATATGGCAAAAATAATAAAAGATTCTTGGCTTTAGGTTTTATTTGCACATGCTTTATAAATCTACCTGAAGCTTTCCAACTGATGATGCACTTGACCATTTGAAAATCCGTTCAGTGACTTATCCCACGTACAGAGAACCATCCTAAAAGAAAATAGGGAAAGCTGCTCCCATCCCATCTTGAGACATTCCCACTCACTCTTCATTGGTATTTATGAGGTCCTCCACTCAAGAACTGAACTGAAGGGAAACATGAGTGCATAGCAGAAATGCAGTCCTGCTAGGGAAGGTTCAAGGAGAGTTAAGTGCCATTGTTTTATGTTTTGAGGTCTCCCTCCCTCTTCCCTTCCTAGGGGGCAGGGCAAAGTGGATGATGCTGGGGGTGGGGGAAAGGGGAGACAAGTGTGGTTTTCCCATCGGAGCTCAAATAGCAGTTAGAATTATATAATGGAGCTGCCCTGAGTCAGGTGACGGGATCACTGAGTAATTCCCTGCAGAAGGAGACAAACGGCATGTTAAAAAGCTCAACAAATACTCAAAAAAAAAAAAAAAAAAAAAAAGCCCAGGCTGTGAGTTCCAGACTTCCAAGCTGCAGTTTCCTCTGAATCCTCTCCAGGCTGAAACAGCTGTATGGGCTTGCTGAGTCAGAAGACTTCTAGAGGTTGGGGATGGCCGAGGCAGGTCCGGGGTCTGGTTTGGATCTCCGGCTTACTTTCTGTTTCATTTTGAAATGTTCCCGGTTTCTGAAACCGGTTGCCTCCGATGTGAAGTAAAACACAGGACGCCAGCTGGGCTTTTAAGGACTGGGGCTCTGTGAAGGTAAGAGGCAGTCTGTGCCCCACCGGCCGAAGTCTGCCACTTTAGAGAGGTCTGAGTACTCGCAGGTCACACCCAGGAGGGGTTGGTGCCCCTGCCAACTGTTCTGGGCTCTGAATGAGGTGGAGAGACCATCGTGGAGGCGGTTTATGGTTAGAAAAGGGATAAAATGGACCCTCCCTGCCGGATGGGTGGCCACCTAGTCCACGGTGAGTTGAATTCATCTCCCGACTTTGGTTGACACCCTCCCCTTCTCCATTCCATCCCACGTGGGAGCTGGTCATCAGCCAGGGAATTGGCACAGCTGGGAAGGAAGGCGAAGGGGCTGCCTGGCACCGAGAGGGCTGCATGGGCGTGTGTAGCATGTGTATTTTCAGAGCCCGACACTTGAGGAGACTGTTGCTCAATTTAAGAAAGCACAGCTATTGGAAACCCAGGAAACAGACCCAGAGAGGAGGATGCATGTGGGAGCAAAGAGCTTTGGGACGCCTTTAAGGTAGGCACTGGCATCGGAAGTCATGTTACTGCAGTTTGTTTGTTTGTTTGTTAGGTGGATTTTGTATTGGTTTGATGCTTTGTTCGGTTTAGAGAATTCTCCTTTGATGGAGCTGCCAATATGAATAGATTTGGTTTTGAAACCTTCAGACCGGGTTCATAGGATGTCCTGGAGCCCACGGTGTTAGTGTAGATGCCTCAAAGTCAGAGTGGATACAAAACGGGTGATGATTTTCAAAGGAGATTCACTTGCAAATCTCACTGCAATGGAGACTTGCGGGGAGTCGTGGTGCCTGCTGAGGCAGGCAGCTCTTAGGAACCTCAGGAAGTTTCTGACTTAAAGAGACAGGAAAGGAAAAATCAAATCCGCAGCTGTTATTTTGGGGAAAGTGGGTTCAAGGAGAATTTGTGGATGAAGAAAAAGGAAAGAAGACTTGGAAAACAAATGGATAAGTAAGGGATAGCCTTGGTGGGATCTCAGCTTGGGGCCGTGGCATTTTGAGGTTTGCTGCATGGAGATAAAAATCAATATGGGAACTGATAACAGCTCACTCAGCACGAACAAGAGATGCTACATGGATTCTTTTAACACTGACTGCTAAAGAGCCTAAGAAATGGCAAGGTGTTAGTTTGGAAGAGTTTATTTCTAAGTGTTATTTATTTTTTATTTTTTGGCCCCATGAGCTGCTCTGAACAAAATATGGTGATGTTAGAACCAAAAGGAAAGCATCCTTAGAGTGGTATCTATAAAGAGGTATTCAAGTTTTCACTGCCTTTCATTCTTTTTCTGCCTTGCTCTCAGTTTTGGGCAAATTATATGAGTTGAATGTATCTGATAGAAACAACTCTTTAAAAAGGGGCCGGGTGCGGTGGCTCACGCCTGTAATCCCAGCACTGTGGGAGGCAGAGGAAGGTGAATCACTTGAGGTCAGGAGTTCAAGACCAGCCTGGCCAACATGGCAAAACCCTGTCTCTGTTAAAAATACAAAAATTAACCGGGCGTGGTGGTGCACGTCTGTAGTCCCAGCTACTGGGGAGGCTGTGGTAAGAGAATCGATTGAACCCAGGAGGCGGTTGCAGGGAGCCCAGATCTCACCACTGCACTCTAGCCTGGGTGACAAAGTGAGACTCTATCTCAAAAAGTAAAAGAAAAGGAACAACTCTTTAAAGTGGTACAGTTATCTTTTAAGAGGATATTTGAATATCAGAATCGAAAAATGATCCTAATCTGAGGTTCTCAAATCTTCAAAACCATGGATCACATTTGGGAAGCAAAAAGACTGTGGATCATGAATTTCTAGTCTTTACTATCGCCCCATTAACCCCCTCTCTTCTGATGCTCAACAAACACATGATGCTCAAAATAGTTTTGGTTTTGAGTGTGTTGCCTTGTACACTAATTCTTTAAAATGTGCTCATCCTCATAGATCATGGTGCCCACATTTTCCATACCAAGGACTGGGACCTGTGATCTTACAGAGGGTTTTTATGTTGCTTTCAGCATGAGAGACAGTCTGAGAAATACAGCTCGGATGCCAGGTTTTATTCGTTTCTAGGATAGCCAATAGTTTATGGGACAACTGGTAAAATAGGACAGATTTTGAAATTTCAGTCCTTCTGGAAATCAAGGTGCTTTGATTAAAAACATAGGTTTTTGAGTCAGGTTGACTGGGGCTTCCACTCCGATTCTGCTACCTTTCAGTGAGTGGCACTGAGCAAGTTTATTGACCTTTCTAAGGCTCGGTTTCCTTATCCGTAAAATTGGAGAGTAATACCACTTTACCTCACTGGCTGTATGGGAAGTTAATTATATGGAACATCCCACAGCACTGTGCCTGGCACACTTAGTGCCTTAAAAAGTACCTATTATTGTTGTTATCATTTATGGTATCTAGTGACCACAAAGTACTTGAAAAACAAAGTCACTTTTTCCCTTGAATGTGCCAGTGAATAAAGAGTATACAGGTATGTGAAACTCTAGCTCATATTTGTGATCCTGCAAATATTTTGGAATTAATTCAATAACACTTGTATTCCGCTATATGAGAAGGCATGTTTGTCCCCGTGTTTTCAACAGAAGGGTAAATTTAACTGGTTTAAGCCAGAGAGGGCATCAGCAGCAGCACCAGATAGGCAACATTTGTCCACAGACTCCCTGCACTCTACCACTGGGTCACAGCGACCCCACACTAGGGAGGGCCCAATAAGGACAAAGTAGCCCTTATCTCTGGACAGCCCCAGACACCTTCTAATGGATACAGTTTGGTGTGGCAGGTTTGATTTTCCTGCCTCAGCCATACTATAAGTTATGATTCTGCCCTTTTCTCATCCTGAATCTGATGGGCTTAGAACTCCCGTAGGTTTCTACTCCACTTGGAAAATTTCTGCAGATGGGCTGGAGTGGTCCATGACTGTACACTTCCAAGCCTCCACTAGGGACAGCACAGAACCTACCACCCTTATATGGCCCCTTAATGACTGTGTTTTTGTTTTCTTTTTGCAGTCTCCTAACATAGGGATTTAATGCCTCCCATAAAGCAAACTTCTGATCGTATGCTGTAAAGTCCAAAGACAGTAGCATAATTACTCTAAAGGGTAAAGATGCCAAAGGCCTTTACTTTGGCATTCCACGGGTATTCGGCTTCCTGCAAAGTTCAGGATCCACAGTTGCAGGGAAAGGATTTCATGAAAGTTCTCTAGGTATAGCTCGGGCTTCTCTAGGAAGCTAACTGGATAAAAAATCTCTCCTGGAACTTGTCCTAAAGAAGGCAGAGTGAAAAATAGTGTAGGGTGTTTTCTTCTGAGAAACCCATCACAAAGATAACACGAATGTCTAAAATTAAGAGAAACAGAAAAAATAATCCAACGGAATACAGAAAGATGAGACATACGTTTCAAAAACAGTTGAGATGGAAAAACACCCAAACCTGTATATATTATAATGCTAAGGGAAAAGAAGAAGGTGTGGAATGTTGGAGAAATAGCAGAGAAAGTGCTATTGAAAGACTTGTTTATAAGTTCATCTGCCCTGGGTAAATCATTCAGTTGAGTCAGTTTCCTCACTTACAAAATAGTAAAAATAATTCCTACCCTACTGTCAGGGCATCAAAGAGGAACATATGATATCCTATGTCCAAACTGAAAGGAAGACAAGAACCCAAAGTACAAACTTGTGTTAACAACTATTTGGGATTAAAGAAATTGACCTCCCAAAAAAGGAATATGTGTGTTACTGAGAACCAGGATTTTCTTATAGATCGTAATGAAGAAAATCACCTTGGGTAGTCCATAGCTAATGTGTTCGTTTGCTAAGGATGCCATAACAAAATATTACTAGATGGCTTAAACAATAGAAATGTATTTTCTCACAGTTTTGGAGGCTGGTAAAGTTGGTTTCTCCTGATCTCTCTCCTTGGCTTGTAGATGGCCGCATTCTCGCCTCATCCTCCCATATAGTTGCCCCTTAGTCTGTGTGTGTGTGTGTGTGTGTGTGTGTGTGTGTGTGTGTGTGTATCCTGATGTCCTTCTCTTTTTTTTTTTGCTGTTTTTTGTTTTTGTGTTGAGGCAGGGTCTGTCTCTGTCACCCAGGCTGGAGTGCAGTGGTATGATCTCAGCTCTCTGCAGCCTTGGTCTCCTGGGCTCAAGTGATCCTCCCACCTCAGCCTTCTGTGTAGCTGGGCCACAGGGGTGTGCCACCACTCCAACTAATTTCTTTATTTTTTTAATTTTTTTGTAGTGACAGTCTCGCTATGTTGTCCAGGCTGGTCTCGAACTCCTGGGCCCAAGTGATCTCCCTCCTTCGCCTCCCAAAATGCTGGGGTAGCCACTACACCTGGCCCTAACATCTCCTATAAAGACACCAGTCATATTGGATTAGGCCCCACCCTTATGACCCCATTTAACCTTAATCATCTCTTTAAAGACCATATCTCCAAATATGGTCTCATTCTGAGATACTAGGGCTCAGGGCCTCAACATATGAATTTGGAAGGGAGCACAATTTAACCCAAAATAGCTATCAAGTTAATTAAGAAAACTAATTAAAAGATGCATTCTTCTTGTTTTAGGAATTGATCAGATCCATTAGGGAACATGGTACCTCCATAGAAGAAAATGGTATCTCCAGACTGCAGTGAGCAGACTCTTTGAAAGGCAGCCTGGCAGACCTGGCCCAAGCTTCCAGAGAAGCCTGACTTTCTAGAGTATTTGAACTATGAGAGAAAGGGAGGACCTTGCTTTATTGACTTCCACCTGCGCACTCTGTCAAAGCACTGGCAGATTGTACCTAACAAGTTTGCAGCTCTGTGGTGACAGCTGTTCTTGGAGGATGGATTTAACATAGTTTTGAATTTGATGTTCCTTTAAGGTCAAAAGGATTATGGCATGTCACTTTTTCCCACTTCCTTTCACTATTCCATCACTTAAAGGAAGATTGATCCTATCATCCAGGTTTCTGCCGTGTTCTGCAGAATCATACATGCTCTTCTCTGTTTCTTCATTCAGTCCTCAGCTCTCCCTGTCCCCATTCAGCATGAACAGTGATATTCAACGACATGGTTACTTGAAATACACACACCTAAGCACATGTATGCATACACATACACACTGATTTATATATTTTTGAAACAGAATTGGTCAGTAGAGCGGAAGATGATTTGCAAGCGGTATTTACAAGTGACTTCCTTTCTAAACGTCGGATCTCAGAATTCAGAGAAAGAGATAGGAAGTCCAGCTCATAGCTGAGGTATTCTCATAAATACAGGAAGTGCAAGGGAACTGACGCCTATTCCAAATGAACAGACATGAAAAGGCATGGACAAGAAAGTAATAACAAGAGTGCAGCAGGTGATTTGCAGGTGTACACAGATGAGGGTGAGCCTGTTCACTGCTTCCTCTTCCCTCCACAGCTGTACCATTAGCAGGACCGTTTGCACGCTCTGTAAGGCATAGACCAGTTCCCTGGTAGCAGCCTACATGCTCCATTCAAACTGGAAAATGCAA